ATAGAGTGAAAGACACTCTATCTCTTCATAAAAAAAAGAAATTTTTTTCAAGCCATCTCTAAGAAAAAAGCTACCTTCGCCACTACTTTTGGATAACCTTAAGTACATAGAGTTGCTTTCAATATTAAATATCGAATTTACTCTGAAAATGGTATCATCTCAAGTTTTAATAGTGTCTTCTGTTTCTTCAAGATTAATTAAGAATGACAATTTGAAAACATATTCCCTTCTATGGATCGATAATTTAGTCAATTCGAATGAGCTTCATAACGTTCAACAGAAACTTTGCTTGGCTATTGATCATTTAAGAGTATTTGAAAATGCTATTGAATGTAAAACTGATATTCGCCAATCAAAAGATGATCAAATTCTATTAATCGTCAATGGACAACTGGGATTTGCCATTGTTCCTTTGAGTGATACACCGATACAAATCAGTTCCATATATGTCTGTTATTTAAATTTAAGTAGCCATCATGAATTAGCATTAAAATTTACCAAGATTCCGGCAACTGTTACAGATTTATATGAACTAATTGAGAAGATCAAAATGAATCGAAAGAGTACAGACAAATGGTTCAATGAAAATCTACTTATCAATGTATGTAATTCTGTTTCCAATGAAGAACGTTCATCAACAAATATCAATGGTAGTTTTCTTCATTTCCAACTTCTTATTGATGGTCTATTACGTAAGCCATATGATCAAACAAGTCGAAATAAATTTTTCGATCTATGCAAAAAAGAATATCAAGACAATTACCAACAATTATCCATAATTAAAGAATTCGAAGAATTCTACGTTCCGGAACAAGCTCTCTATTGGTATTCAGGACATGCATTTCTCTATGAAATGCTCAATAAAGCTCTACGAAGTCAAAATATTAACGTTTTATTTCTATATCGGTTCTTTATTCAAGATTTATATAAACAACTAGAAAACTTACAATGGCAACAAGATCAAAAATCAATTCGTGTTTATCGAGGTCAATATATGTCAAGAGAAGAATTACATCTGTTGAAAGAATCTAAAGGACAATTTATATCGATGAATTCATTTCTATCAACAAGTCTTGATCGAGAAATATCTCGTATGTTCGTTTCACCTAAACATGAAGATCTTTGCAGTGTTCTATTCGAAATCGATGTTGATCCGTATTTATCTTATGAAGCAAAGCCATTTGCTAATATTAGTTCACAAAGTCAATTCAAAGATGAACAAGAAATTCTATTTATGATTGGAACCATCTTTCGTCTTGTTAACATTCGACAAGAGAACGAAATTACTGTCATTCAAATGGAACTATGTAATGAAAATTATGATGATGATAATATGAAGCTTCTTTTAGAACTTATGCAAATAAAAAATGGTGAATATCATGAATGTTTTTCATTTGGTCATGTATTGCGTATAGCAAGAATGTATGATTTAGCAGAACAATTCTATAAACGAATGTTAAATGAACTGGAAAACGATCATCCATTGGTTGCCGAACTTTGGGGTAGTATAGGACTTGTAAAAAGAGCAAATGGAGAGATAGAGAACAGTGCTCAATGGCTAAGCAAATCTTTGGAAAAGTATGAACAAATGGGAGATCGTACAGGAATTGCTAGATGTCTACAAAATCTGGCTCTTATTCATCAAATGAAAGGAGAACTTAATCAAGCCATCGATAAATGTAGTCGAGCATTGAATATCTTTCATGAGCTGCCTGGTAATCAAGAGAAGTCAATTGCTCGTTGCTTTCTTAATTTAGGTAATACTTATTTCGAGCAACACAAGCTCACTGAAGCGCTTCAATTTTATATGATTGCACTAGATATTCGAATAAGAATTTTACCATACATGCATTCTGATATTGCAAGAACGATTAACAATATAGGTAATGCTTATTTTCTAAAGGGCGAACATGATTGTGCCCTTCAGTCTTTTGAACAAGCGTTGGATATCTTTAAAATATCGTTGCCATCCGAACATCCTTCCATTGCCACAACTTACTACAATATGGGTGTATGTTACGCATTCAAGTATGACTATCAACGATCATTAGTCTTTTTAAATAGAGCGTATTCGATTCGTCGCAATATACTTTCACCGGATCATCCAAACGTCCATCAATGTGCCGATACTATCGATTTTGTCAAACAAAAACAATTCCAAGAAAAATAGCAATTTTGTGTCTTTCCATTATCTAGATAAATGCTCTTATTCGAGGGTGTGGCTTATGTTTCTGTACAGTTGACTTCATCTTTCGCCTTTGTATGTCTTGTTATTTTTCAATGAAAACTTTTTCTCTTCTTATTCAAACTCAGAGCAGGATATGCAACTTGAACAGAAGATGCATCATCCTCAGACTGCATAAGAAACGAGTGTGGGTGTAGATTACGAATGAACTTGAGTGAATGCATTGTATTCGACTACATCTGTACCTGAGCCTACGGTCTCTTTTTCAAATGCAAACTGAATTTTAGAAAGAAAGGATCTTCGTTTCACGAACAGCAGACATCTAGAAGCAATCAACGGTTCCACAATCTGAGGAATACTACGTCTTTAGAATTTCTCGACCAATTTTTCAAGGAAGAAGAAGATAGAATAATCATATAAATATATATTAAAAATAAGAAAAGCGATAGTTCTCTGTGGTCATTATCTAGTATAACTATTGCAGAGTAAGCTTTAAAAAATGATGCTTATAGCTCCCTCGATCGACAGAAAAAAGTTCTTAACATGGATAAAAAGGGTGTGGGTGTGGGTGTGGGTGTGGGTGTGGATGTGGGTGGGGTGTGAGTGCGGGCGTGAGTAGGTGTGGATCGATGGGTGTGGGTCTTCTTCACTCACGCCCAGGTACACCCACACCCACCCATACCCACACCCACACACCCACACCCACCCCAAGTTTAGACAAGTCCTCTTTCAAATGTTTTTCCTCAAGCCTAAGAAACGTCATGGGATGCAGAATTTCACGCAGAATCTTGTAGTGTATTATAAAATTCCTCAAAGCTGTCATTTGAAAATAATTTTGATAATTGCTTTGTTGTTTGATTGCCACAATTGGACTGGCCTAGCTGTCAAACTCTTCCAGTGTTCATCTATAGGAAAATTTATTGGAAAAAAGAAATCGACAGTTTTGAAGAGCAGAAAATTCTGTATCGTGCTTTCTTTCGCCGAAAGAAGGATATCTTTCATCAAAAATACCATTAAATGGACTAAGATAAGCGTACAGGTGTATTTACGGAAGAAGAAAGTAAGCTTTCATGAGACGTATTTCGAAAGAGGCTTAGATCTCCTTATCATTAGTTATATTTTGAATCAAGTACTGCAAAGTTCGTTAAAATGCTAATAATTAGTGAACGCAAAAACAATTTTTTTTCTTCTAAAATGAACTCTAGCTGTAGCAATATCATAACAATGTAGCTGTTGTTTATCATCATCTATTTTTTTGTCCCACCATTGCGAATAAGCGATTGAAAGCAAGAAGAATCACTTAAAGATAAATAGGAATAGGTACTACGTTTTTTACTTATCTCAATCATATCTAGATATTTATGGAAAACCTTTTTCTCAATGTTATGTTCCATTTGATTTTTAGAAAATATCAGTATTGCTTTAGATTGATTCTGTTAATATTTGCTTTGCCGTTTTACAACATGAGAATAAACAAATTAGAATAAATGATCAGGAATTTATTTCTTGAATAACAATCACAAAAAGAAACTTTAACAATAATATTCAACAAAGAAAAAATACAATGAGTGATGAAATGCTTTTGAAGTCATCAATCTAGTCTAGTCCATATTAAGTGAAGCACTAATCTGGATACATCCGACACCTGGTGTTTTTGTTCTTGGTTCAGCTACCAGGTTTATTCGTTTGCATGTTTCAAATTTTTCCGCTATATCTTCGTTGAATGTTTTGACCATCTTTTGCCTTAATCTGATTGGCAAAGAGAGGTAAATCTCGATAGTGACATGTTGTAATGCCTTCAGATTTCGTAACATTTCATCCCAATCGTCGGCAAATAGCCAGAAATACACATTGTTACAACAACAAAAACCTTTGATTGTCAATGTAATTAACGATGGAAAAGCAGATAAGAATTCAACTAGCAATCTCAATCTCCAATTCTTGAAATCAAGATCGAGACGGCGAATATGATATTGCAGTGTCAAAGGTAGATACTTTCTACTGTGTAATTTACAATGAACATGATCAATTTTTACATCATGAAAATTGGAAGTCATGGTATTCATTTTAACCAAACGAAAGGTCAAGTTTCCTAGTAAATTTCTGCTCGATGGAAAGTAATTTGGACGAGCATTTGTTATGAGAATGATCCGTTGAAGAGAAGAATGACCGAATGCAGTTTCGATCATTTTATTACCGATTGACTTCAGTTCTATACTGACTAGATATAGCGTGAAGTTGATTAATTGAAACAGCTTGGAAACCTAAATAAACACAACAATATTTTTTTGGTATCTGTTGTATCACTTTCATTGGTTTTTTGTGAGAAGTAAAGGTTTACTGGTTTGAATTCTCACGATTATTTCTACTCCGACGGAGCGTAACTGTGAACGAACATTTTCTTCTTTTCTACATTATCATTTTCAACGTTATTATCCTTGAGTTTTGATAGAATTTTCGAGTGCACAGAATGATTCTTAATACTTTCTGTATTCTGACTTCATCCTATCGAACTTTTAAATATCACGACTGAACAAAGCATTTTTTTCGCTAAGATTCTCCATAACATCGAAAACTTTTTTAATTTGCATGTAAGTATTTTAAAGATCCTAAGCGCATTCTCAAGTCTAAGCACTATGTATCAAAACTTTGCTAACCTCATGGACCATATTGAGACATTGGTCTTCGCATTCATTTCCATAGATGACGGTAAGGAATTTAAGATTAAGAAATATTTCAATTGGAATAATAACATGTTCCATGCGGAGTGACGTAACTTGATTGGAAGGATATTTGTCCGGAAGAAAAGGCGATTCATGATCAATATGCATATGTCGTTGTTGGCATCGATCAAATATACATGATGTAATAAATGAATTAAGATTTGAGAAAGATTGAAGAATTTCTTTTATATTGAAATATTCGAAAATACTAAGAATCAACTCACTTGAGAGACATTCAAGTGAGGAACAAAAATCTAAATTGTATAAATTCAGATGACATATCGATATTTAGATAAGTCAAGAGAAATCTTACTTTGTTCATAAGTTGCTCTGAATCGTTTTGTTAGACAATTATCAATACATTGTTCCATGTTGCTGAAATCAAGTATAACTACCCCATGAAATTATTTGTGCTCAGAAGAACGAAAAGCAGTTCATCTCATTTTACACTCATTTGGTGACCTGAAACAATGAAAAGTCAATGACGAATACGATATATATTTTCTATTGCTTTTCTCTGAAATATCAAATCATGACTTTTCTACAATCTAAGAGCGAAAAGTTGAATCAAGGTCACGAGAGTGAAGGTTAACGGTCGTGCCTGCTTATTCGAACTGCTATGATTTGGCAAATGTGAAAAAGAAAATAAACATATGAGAGTGACGTGTGTGTAAATCAGAGTCTGAAAAAGAAAGACCAGAAAACAGTTGTTTAGAAATTTTAAAACTATCTTTGTACATCATTGTTGAAACAAAGATCAAAAATTAGGAAGACATCATTTTTTATTTGTTTACTTTATCCTATGTCAAACATCTATTCTTGTGATATAGTTTAAATAAGTAGATATCAAAGGTATTCGATAGAAAAGAAAATATTTCTTCATAATTGACTCAAACAATTTGATCAGATTTCTTTTCCTTAAGACATTTCGAATAGATATGAAAGAATGCTTGTCGATTGGCTGTATTTTTTTTCTGGTTTGTTTCAGACAATGTATTCTCTTTTTGTAAGTTGAATAAATAAATTTTGCATTAAGAAAATCGTAATTTAAAGACCAATCATCATCTATCGATTGATACAATATAGAGTGTCGAAAAATGATAGCACAATGTGGAGATATTTTACTAAGTAAAATTAAAAATTTTCTATGATGTTATTTTACTATTAAACAAGATTCCATTTTATCAAGAAACAACAAAAATTCGGAGAAAAAAAAAGGAGAAGACTTCAAAGACAGGTGTGAGTGTAGATAGAAATAATATGAACGTTAACACCCAGACCCACACACAACAATCTAAATGTAATTATGATTTTGTGCTCTCACCATCGATAAACAAATATATAAGCTTTCCAACTTATGAATTGCATAAGTTGAAGCTATTGTTAAATTTGATTTGATGAACACATTATATTAAAGTCTTTTGTACCACACTATTGAAAGCAAAAGTGTTCTATTTTTATTCTCGCACTCAATAGAAAGAGATTCTTTCTATTATTCGAATAAAACCAATGAAATCCATGGATAAAAAACCGCAATGTGTTCTTTGCAGTCTAGATGATACATGTTGAATTGTTTGAATTATAATTAAAAGCCATTGAATAAAAGTTGCGTTACCGACAATTGCATCTGTCGATTAAAGAGAAACATTATCATTTTAGCCTAGCAAGTAAATCTTTGATATTTCAAATAATATGTAAAATATTGCAATAACAAAAGAAACAGATGTTTCAATAAGATAACATCAACTATGGAAATTACTCAATGAGAAACTTATAATTAAAAACCTCATGTATTATTGATTCATTGTCCAATAGATGCTCTATCTAAATTAAACTTGAAGATACATCGAACGTTCGTTTAGCGCTGGATGCGATACATTCCAAATTCTGCAGAAATATCAAAACTTTTCAACTGCGTTTCATTCAGAACGTAGAGCTTCCGATATATCTTTCTTATTAGTTGCGCTGAGTGACTATCATTTTTACTTCGATTGATAAGTATTGTTGATGTCGTATTTCTTTTGCTCCTTATAATCGATAAATAACTACTAAAACCATTCGATCGCCACTGTATTGCTGTTATTGTCGTGACAGTGCTGTTGATTGTCGACGAAGTGGGTGAAATTAATAAAGATTGGCAAGCAGTAGCAAGACTAACATCCAGTGAGACAAAAAATGATAAAAGGGAACATATTAAAATTACTGATAAAAAAAATAAATAAGAGCAACGAAACAAATGTGAATGATCATACAGTATAGTCT